ATATAATAACACCTACGTATATCTCTGTGCACATCTTGCTATGTTAAACTGGAGACCGGTAACCACTCAATCGTTGTACGGCGCTGCTTCGAAAACCTGATAATTCTCCGTGTCCTCCAGTCTGACGATTGACACTAAAAATAACTTTGGTGCCTATATATCAATTCATTTGGTTTATTGTGAGATTAGACAAGGAAAGCGGAGAATGAACCAAAAGAGACTGACTGACATATAGATTTTACTGTGAATTATACGCTATCGCTAAGTATTTAATACTATAACCACGCATCTTTAGGCAACTATAACGCACGAAAAGGTTACTTACAATTTAACTCAGTCAGATATGTGTGTGTCATCCTGATTCATCCACTTATATGCTGTAATTAAACGAGTGAACGACATAAATTAAGTATGAAATTATAACAGCTACGGAAGCTTCAGTTGAGCAAGAATTCCTGTATATTTATTTAGTCACGTTAGCTGTAATTATGATGCGCATTCGAAGTTGTCACAGCTCGAATCTTTGCAGACCAAAACACAGAGAGAACATGGCGGGAACGCTTCGGGCCACGCGTATACTGACCGTGATATATCTCGCGAAAGAAAAGCCCGTCACGGCGTGACGAAAATCCAAGTGATTCATTTATATATGCGCGCTTATATGTTGAACATACTGGCAGGCTAACGAGATAATAAATACTCGTTTTGTCTGATACACAATAACATACAATTCAAGAAAGAATTAGGTTAGATATAAGTTTTTAAACCCAAACTTGTTCGCGTCCGTGCTTCTCTCGCGCGCGCCCGCATGCACACACAGAAAGGCGAAGGATAAGAGCGGGGAAAGAGAAAGGAGTGAGAGAGAGAAAGCAGGAAGCGAGAGAGGAGAGAGGAAGGCAGGCAGGAGGGCAGAGAGGGGAGACAAAGGCAGAGAGGAGAGAGGAAGGTAGAGAGAAGAAAGAGGAAGACAGAAAAGAGAAAGAGAAAGGCAAAGAAGAGAGAGGGGCGGCAGAGAGGAGAGCGAGAGGAAGGTAGAGAGGAGAGAGAGGAAGGCAGAGGGGAGAGAGGAAGGAAGAGAGGAGAGAGAGAGGAACGCAGAGATGAGAGAGAGAGAGAGACAGATAGGAAGGCAGAGGAGGGAGAGAGAAGAGAGAGAGAGAGAGAGAGAGAGAGAGAGAGAGAGAGAGAGAGAGAGAGAGAGAGAGAGAGAGAGAGAGAGAGAGAGAGAGAGAGAGAGAGAGAGAGAGAGAGAGAGAGAGAGAGAGTAGAGAGAGAGAGAGAGAGAGAGAGAGAGAGAGAGAGAGAGAGAGAGTGCGCGTGAAAGAGCGATAAAGAGATGTAGACAGATATAAGAATGCACACCTAAGAATAAACATGCGCGGAGAGAGAGAGAGAGAGAGAGAGAGAGAGAGAGAGAGAGAGAGAGAGAGAGAGAGAGAGAGAGAGAGAGAGAGAGAGAGAGAGAGAGAGAGAGAGGAGAGAGAGAGAGAGAGAGAGAGAGAGAGAGAGAGAGAGAGAGAGAGAGAGAGAGAGAGAGAGAGAGAGAGAGAGAGAGAGAGAGAGAGAGAGAGATTTCTCTCTCTTTCTCGCTTTCTCTCTTTCTCTCTCTCTCTCTTGCTCTCTGATATCGCCGCGACGCTATCACGCAGGTATTGTGTGACGTTAGCCCGGCTTGCACCTGGATGCTGCTGCTGCTGCTGATGATGATGATGCTGCTGGCTGCTGGCTGCTGGCTGCTGGCTGTGACAGCTACTGTTGGCTACTGCTGCTACTGCTGGCCGCTGCTGCTGCTACTACTACTACTGCTGCTACTGCTGCTGCTACTGTTGCTGTTGCTGTTGCTGTTGCTGTTGCTGTTGCTGTTGCTGCTGCTACTGCTGCTGCTGCTGCTGCTGGCTGTGACAGTAGCTGAGCTACGTGCAGCCTGCGACGTCGCATCTCCATTGACATGCATCCTAATTGGGGCCGCCGCTGCCGGAGTCAAGGCCGGTCGGGTCCCGGCGCCGCCGCACAGCGATTGGTCCGTCGCGTCGGACCCCCGACTGTCCGCACGCGCACTGCGCCTCTTTCATAAGGGCCGGCTGGCTTTTCATTCGGGGTTCGACGCACAAGTGGGTCCGCGTATCCTCTGTCACCCCCTCTCCATCCCCCTCCCCCCGCGCGCGCGCAGGCGTGCGTACCATGCGATCTACGATTCCTGTGAGCTGTATTTTTTTCATGTTGGGTCGGCCCCCTTTTCGATCTCCCGGGATCGTCCCGTCGACGCGCGGGGGGAGGGAGGGGAGGAAGAGGAGGGAGAGGGGGAGCGAGGAAGAGGAGGGGGAGGGAGGGAGGGAGGATGCGGCCAACACGCAACAATGCGCCGTCCGTTGCGGAGCGTCCGGAGCCGTGATGGATGCCTTCCTGACGGCGACCATTGTGTGCGGGCCAGCCACGACACACAACAAGGCAGCTCTGTGTGTGTGTGTGTATGTCTATGTCTCTCTCTCGCCATATGTCTCTCTGCCCACACACACACTTTCTATCTCTCTCTCGCACACTCTCATACACTCTCACTCAAAGCTTGCGTGTATGTATATGTGTGTGTATGTGTGTTTCTGTGAGCGTACGTGTGCATGCGTGTGTTCGTGTGCGTGCGTGCGTTCGGGCGTGTGTATGTTTGCATGAGCGTGCGTGCATGCGCGTGCGTGTGTATGTTTGCATGAGCGTGCGTGCATGCGCGTGCGTGTGTATGTTTTCATGAGCGTGCGTTCATGCGCGTGCGTGCGTGTGGCTGAGTGTCTCTAGTTCTCCTCGCACATTCACCGTATCTCGCCGCATCCACGCGGTATCAGGGAGAGGAGGAGTGGTAGAACACTCGGGGGTGACCCGGGGACCGATTTTCCGTATAAGAAGTCTGTGGCGATGCTGAGAGGGTGCAGGCTACGTCGATCGTTAATGGGGAAGGGGTCGGTGGAAGCTGGTCTCACTCGGACGGCGAAGGAGTGGCCTATGGATAGATAAGTGTTAGTGGAATGAGACTCGATCACGAAATGTGGGTGGTTGGATGCCCGTCGGGGGGTGAGTGGAATGTGTCAGTGATCAGTCGCCGGGCGAGGGTTGGCCTCTTGCGTTTAGTATATAACACCGCGCCGTTAGTCCCCGCGTGGGATTACCAGCGCGTCGTGGCAGCATCCGTCTTTCGATGCTCAGCTGTTAACGCTAGTAAGAGTTGAGGAGGCTAGACGTGCCGTGATAGGCCGCCATTGATGGCTTTAAACAGTTGCCGGATCGCAACAAGAGCGGCCGACGGCCGTTGTTGTGTTCTATCCGTTTTCTATCGCTCTGCCCCCGGTCCCGGATGACTTCCGCTAGGTACTTAGCGGGGTAGCGCGACGTGCTCGATGTAGATATATAGATATAACGTAGTCGATGGGATCGGATGCTTCGCCGATCGTATTGTAACTATTTCTTTGATTTGATTGAATCGTGCAGGGCGCATGAGTGCGTTCGTGCGTGAGTGAGTGCGTGCGTGTGTTGGTGGAACAATGTCTACGTTATTCATCTCATCGTGGTTCTTTTTAGAACTCTGATATCACCAAGAGCTAATAAACACCTGTATTTATTATACGGTTATTATTTATTAATAAGTTATTGTTATATATTATTAGTTATTGTATTTATTAATACGGTATTTATTAGCTCTTGATATCGCGTAAAGTCTCGCTAACCCCCCCCCCTCTCTCTCTTTCTTTCTCTCTCTCTCTCTCTCTCTCTCTCTCTCTCTATCTCTCTCCTTTCTCTCTCTCTCTCTCTCTCCCTCTCTCGTCTCTCTCTCTCTCTCTCTCTCTCTCTCTCTTCTTCTCTCTCTCTCTCTCTCTCTCTCTTTCTCTCTCTCTCTTTCGCTCTCTCTCTCCTCGTCTCTCTCTCTTCTCTCATCATATCTCCCCGTCTCTTTCCTCTCTTCTGCCGACCCTCATCTGCTTTCCTCCCCTCTCATCTCCTGTCCCATCTCTCTCTTTCTCTTCTCTCTTCTATTCTCTTATCCCCTTTCTCTTCTATTCTCCTTATCCCCTTTCTTCTTCTATCATTCCTTTCAAATATTGCATCTTTCTTTTCTCTCTCTCTCACTCTCTTCTCCTCTTCTCGCGCACATCGAGACTACTACCCGCGACCCCCGCAGCTGAGTCCCGTGTATTATAATAAACCAGTTTATGGTCGGGGCGGCGGCAGCCAGCGACGGCAGCAAGGCATCGCTGGCCTCTGTAGGGGTTGGAGACTACTGGCCTGGGTTACTGGGGCAGTAATGAGAGCGTAGAAGCGCTGTCGTCTTCTGTCGCCCGCCGACTTTTAAATTGAGCCTTTCGTGCGGGTGGCATGCCAGGCCGAGCGATATAGGCGGCAGCCAGCCTTGTAGCTTCCTCCGTGTGCGCGTAGTCACGCCGGCGCAGGCGGCCAGCATCTCGGTCTTGTCTCAAGGTAAAAAAAACACAGTCGTGCGCCGCCGCCAAAGACAATGCCGCGCACAATCTGCATTGTTCAGTCGAGCAGTGAACGGTTCGTGATTTCGGTCCCCTGGGAGGGTCCGTGGCCGGGTGCGGCCACGCGGGCGCACTGTGCGCGTTCCTATAGGTGTGCGCCAGTGTCTTGCGAGGGCGGCACGCGCGTTTTGGCGAAAAATGCCTACGCCGTTTCACGAACGCTCGAAAGAATGATCTATGATGATTGATTCGTGGGAGAAATAGCAGGTGTCATCGGACGCTCGGCATTGTCCCGCGTATATTATGTTGCATTGTGGAATGTGCGAGAGCAGCATCAGTCTGGGGTTAGAGTGCTGCTATCTATTTGAGAGTACAATAAGGGGTGGCCTATCTATTGGGCGCGTGGGCAGGGGGGGGGATGGCGTCCGTGCGTGTTTTATACGAGCGGTTTGTAGGCGGTTATATATAGTATATATATATTTATATATAATATATATAGGACCGATTACATAATGGAAATACTTGAATCTGTGCACCCGCCGCTGTGTGCAAACGTTGTTACGTTCAGCGTTTCGTCGTATTTATGTACAATGAGCGCCTAGCTTTTGGCGGCTGGCCTATGGTCCTGTTGTCTATACGAACTTGGATGTTGCCTTATCTTCACGGCGAGTGCTTCTGTGCTCGTGGCCGTGGTGCGTTGGTAGTGGCGGGTCTCGTGTCAGCATGTGAGTGGCCCATGTGCGCTGCGCGCACTCGTGAGCGCGTTTGCGTGTCTGCTGCCGCGCTGCGCCGCGTGTGCACGCACGCGACTGTGCTTGCGCTCTCATGGACCGCTGATTTATGTATCCTGTGCACTGCAGGCGCCTGTGTGGTGCGTAGGTGGGCGCCCACCCCTGCATGTGTTCGTTTATGACGAAGCGTTTTCTCAAGATTTGTGCCAGTCCTGGGGGATTAGATATATGATTCTCCGTGACGACGTCAAAAACCTGACCGATACAAGTTATAGCTATACTAACCATTATTATCTATCGTCTTGACACGTGCTACAGTTTACCAGGGTTGGGTTAAAAAGCTGACGCCAAGATGGCCATGTTTTGTCTGCACGTCGGTCGGACATACGACATCGCATGGCATTCTGCTGCAATATCTTCGTGCCAAACATAATCGACTGATAAAAATATCCGGCTTAAAGTTAAGAACTTGCCGTTCTTCATTTCGGCACGCCACGAGTCCTATAGCCAACTTTTGTTAGCTAT